ACCTGCCATAGTGTCCATTACAGCATCTCTTAGAGATACACAATTGTGGGTTGTGAATGGGTGAAAAAAGGAGATTGTAAAGATACATACTAACTACTTACTGATAAGAGTTTTTTCTACCTAGGAGTCCATTTGAGTGGGTGCCATTATCGTACCTACTCCTGCTGTCAAATAGCAGTACGTGCACCTCCGTGTGCCGATTTGAAAGTTAAAAAATACAGTAAAATTACAGGCTGTAAGGTATTCCATCTTGGTCTTATGAAATTGATTGCAGGTATCAATGAGATTCAGGAGCAACTTTTTATCAATCACTTTAATCATAAAAGTCACTAATTGTTGATGTAACTTTACACGTCGGGCCGGTTTTTAATAAAAAGTATTTTTTCACTATATCTAGTATGCCGTTATTGAACCAACTTTATTATAATAATAATATCTTTATTGAGGAAAAACTATTGAAAACATTCATTTGCATCTGCCGCAGGGCAGGATTATAATGCCTAAGTGTATGTAAAAGTGCACTCAGGTGCACTCTCTATTCCTTCACTCTATGAGAGTCTGATGGTTAACCGACAAGAACGGAGAGAGATCAGGCACAGGACTAACAGCTTTACATGCTTTTTAACTTTACTACTACTTTACTTTAATATTTTAAATATAACATACTTTTCAATATTTTGTTCGCACGCCCCATTCTACCCTGTGTTTGCAAACAATAGACCATTTATCAGTTACGCTGACGTTCAGAAGTGGCGTGCTCAATAGTTTAGTTCAGTAATTCGTCTGGGGAACGAAACCAGTGCATCTATTATTCATCGATAAGTCCAAAACCCACTAAAACGTGCCAATGCATCCGAAAATGTTTTCTAACTAGAGGGTTGTACGGTTTGCGTTTGATTGATAGAGCTTTTATAAATTATTGTGGAAAGTCTATTCTTCCGATCTCCCTATGAAAATCTGCATTGATACTTATTGTGTGATATACGCGATAATTGTGACTCAAAGGCAACTTAAATAAATAAAATTTTGCAGATTTCATCGATTCCCGACGTTTGATTGACGTCCTGAAGTCATATTTAATAAAAGCCAACTCCAATTTACTTTGTGTAGTTTTCACGTAAATATAAGCAATCGCTAAGCTTTTCCTACGTGGTAGAGACACGCTGCAGCTATATTATTAATTTAGCATGAATGGATCGGCTCGGCCGGTGAAGGACTACGCTCTCACAGAATACTAGCGTAAAATAGCTGCTTAATACTGCTGTGTTTCTTATGGTGAGTGTAGAGATCCGAAGACCTTTTTTTACTGGAAACGAGGCATTCCATTTTAGTTCTCAGGGGTGGCAACGCATCTACGTTTTTATTCTTAATCGAGGATAAATGTAGATGTTTCTGGGCCACAGCATCCACTTATCATGGACTGGCTTTGTGCTCGTTTGTCATCCTTATTCTATACAAGAAAAGCTATCTGCTAATATTCTTTTTGAATCACGGCAGGTGGGATCGAAGCCTCACCAAAGTCAATGTTTCCGGACTTACAAATTATTTGTTTTAGGTTTGGATGACCTGCACTTATATTGATTTCCTGTATTGTATAAAATTTCTATAGAATTAGGAAATATGATTGTGCAGATAATAACTAAAGTTGTTTATACAAGTAAGGTCACCCACAAACGAACATACAGCCCACCTGATGGAGCGGATGGATGCCTAGGTTTATATACACCTACGTATATCATCGACGAGGAATCAAAATGCAGATTTGTTGTCACTTCTAAAATCTGAGGGAATCCCTTGTTATATACGAAACACAGCAATATTTTAATGCCTTTTATGCTAATTATTCGAAAGTTCACCCTCTCCGATAGAGCCGACGTATTGGTGCTGCAGTCATAAAAACGTAAATAATAATTTCTGTTAATTTTAAGAGTACTAACAAAATGGGTGTATTTACCTGAGTAGTGAATAAATAAATAAAATAAAAATTAACGGCAGTTGCGCAGCTCTACTAAAAAAGTTAAATTTGAAATGAAACAGTTTCAGAGAATTTTCTAAAGGGCGATTTTATATATGTTATATGATTTTGTATATACTGTCTGCTCCCTGTGACTTCATCTGCGTCGTAATTGTTACGACTGGATATCATGGGTTTTGATATTTTTGCGCGGAACTATCTTATACCCGAGTAAAATTAGCTTATGTTACTCATTATAACATCAACTCTCTACCAGTGAAAGTCCCGTCAAAATCAGTCCAGTCATGTTGGAAATTAGCCGGAACAAACAGACAAAAATATTCAGTAAATTGTTTTTTTTGGTATAAGTCTCGTATTAGCTTTTATATGCATTTTGTAAAAACTTTTATTTTTACACTACAAACGGACACTTCCATTTTATTCATTTGTTCAAATAAAGTAACCGTTTCTTATATAAGAATTCGAGAATATATGATATATATGAAAGTTTGCAGCAAGCTTTCAGATTTTTAAAAGCTATTGGACTTTTACATATCTTGAATTTTAGTCAACTTGATTGATACTCTCATCGTAAATCAAGTGCAAAGAAGTGTAGAAAGCAGGCAACATAATATTATGTTAGAATTATTGTACGAGTAAACAACCCAGCTTAGATAGAACTATTATTGTACCATTACCGTAACAGGCTATCAAAAGTCCTCGGTCGAACGTAGGCCTCTCGCATAGATTGCCTCACTGGAGGGGATATTTTCTATAACTGCCACGCTTGACCGCACGGGTTGGAAACCGGAGTTTTATTTTAATTTTTAGTTCTTAGTAGAAAAACTGTCGCCTCTTACGACAGCCGTAGGATAATATAGGTAGTGGATATTCTTACGCCGCCTTTATACGGTCGTTGTAACTCTACGACCACTTTCACTTTATTTTCAATTTCCCTCTCTTTGCAGGATGAAATGCCTTCGCATACCAGTTGGATTAAAAACAGTTTATGTCGTATTCGCTTAGAAAACCAAGTAGAAATTTAAAGTAAGCAAAAAAAATCAACCATTTAGTGTCGATGTAAGAATATCCACTGTCCCAAGTGTCCCGTGAGGGTCATAGGAGATGACGGAGGGAAACTGACACAGGAGAAGGACAGCAGAATCTTCCTGATAACAGCTCAACATTATTAAAGCACACTTAAAACAAAAAAAAAACACTGAAACCTTTTTTCAGCAGTGGACTTATATAGGCAGTAATGGAATGGAAAACGAATAACTTTATTAATAATTTTAAACGGTGCTTTTAGTAAATTAAAATTATAAAGACGACCTCCCCACTAACATCTCACCTTAGTTATACCGTTACGGTTACAGCCTGTTACAGTCCACTGCTGAACACAGGCGCACCCCTTAGATTGCCTCATAGGCATATTTGCCACAGTTGCCACGCTCGACAATCGGGTTGGCAATTTTGTTTGTGGCTTTTTATTTAAGTCCTTATTAAGAAAACGCTGCTGCGCATATCCTTGCTTCCCTCTGTCGTCTGATGCGACTATTTGTAACTTTTTATATTACTATAAGCAAAATAATAGCGACAAAAATAAAACTAATAAATACACGTCTGTTTTATTGATGTCCATAATCATTTACAATAAAATTTTTATTGGATCGTATCCATAAACGACAATATGCACAGCAGATGCATCGTAATTTCATTTTAAACAAAAGAAAACTTACAGTTTACTTCATACAAATTCCATACAAATATTTACATCAGCCCCTATTTATGAATATATTATTTGTTAAATTTTTTGGTCTGTTGTTATGCTCAAAGCGTTATTATATAACAATTAAACAAATGTTGATAGAGCGCACGATGCGAAAAGCTATATTACAATTTTTTCACCACGGATCACGGAATAAGGATGAGTGGATTCTTAATTTAGATATAAGATTACGTAATATTGTCATTTAGTTCATATTGAACTGTTTTGAGTAAATTAATGAAAAGAAAATGCATTACCCTGTTAATATAGGGATTATCCCTTCTTTAAATGATGAAAGATATTTTTACGGCTTTGTTCAGATTATAAGTACATATATCGTTAATTATTTTTTTCATATAGACGTACATAATGCAATGTAGACAGCAAATAGTTTTGTTTTGTAAATATTTAATTTAACTAAAATAATTTATTAATTAGTCACAAAAATTATAATTTAAAAACCATGTTCTATTTGGTGACATGCAATAACTTTATAAATGCACAATATTATCATTCGAAAACAATTTAGTAACAAAAGTGATATTTATTACTCAAAACCTCAAAGATATAATCTAATTAAAATATTTTATGTATCACCGAATTCGAACACAGACACAAAAATCTATTTAAAAATTATCAACCTTAGGCCAAAATTTGCAATTTTTTTCTACATTACCATCATAACATCATATAAAATATAGAGGACGATATTTACAATTTTATCTATATTTAATTTCATGATACGAAAAATATTCTGAAATATGAAAATTCATAACATAAGAGATGTACATTTAAAGAACTATAATATTTGTAAAACGTGAAACTTTTTATGTTATTTTATAATACACAAAAAGCCAATTTTTAAAATGTGTTATTTCACTAAAGTTTTCTGCAATTGTTTTCAGTTTTAAGATACGACTTTGGACAATATGACTAGACGTATAGCTGGAACACTTGGAATGTCACCCAGTGCGTAGATATTCAGCGTGATGCCTGTAACGAAATATGTTTTATTTTTCTTTTGTGACATTTACTTTTACATTCAAATTTGGGATATTCATAGAATACCAGCGTGAAAGAGCTGCTGTGTTTTGAATGGGGAGTGTAGATAATCGCAGGCCCTTTTTACTGCATATAGAGCATTCAGAATTTTGCCTTTTGTTTTTCTTCAGTTATTATTCCATACCTTTGGATGGACGAAATCGCCAAAGCTAAAAAAAGAATGATTTAATACAGTATAATAACTTTTCTTACCTTAAACAATTTTTCATAATGTTTTCATTTGACTGCCAGTAACGACTGAGCTAAAGCTGGCAGCAAAACCAATGCTATAACTGTGCACGTGCTTGTTCCTGAAAATTAAACAAATTGTATAAAAAAAAACAATTTAACATCAACATAGAATAATCATAAGTGCTGGTTTAACTCGTTAGTTCACACACTTTTATAAGCACCAGTAACCTACAAGTTTACTATAAAGGTTACAATATTTACGTTACGTCTTACGTGGTAGAGCCACGCTTTAGTTTTATTACAGTTGTAGCACAAAATGGTTCGACCTAGTAGGAATCACGCGGTATACCAGTGTAAAATAGCAGAATAATGCTGCTGTGTTTCTCAGGGACAGTTTAAAGAACGAGATACTGTTTTTACTTGAAAAAGAGGCATTCCATCTATGTCCTCTCTTGGTGACAACGCATCGAAAACAGGTGTGTTTGTTTTAACCATTATTTCATAAAAGAATGTTGGAAGATCTCAATCTTATTAATCCCTACTTCAAAAAATAATTAATATACCTACTTCTTCTCTATAGGTTATAGACTTGGATAATAAAAAAATAAACAAATAAATGTAGTGATGAAAATATAAAAAAGTAAGAGCGACCACGTTTATAGATAAATTTGTATAACTGGGCCTGTGTCTTTCTAATTTCTGTCAATGGTCATTCTAGGTGGTTTAATTGCTTTCCTTCCTAAGACTCCTCCCTTTCTGCCGTTAAAAAGCTTACTTACATAATAGCGTGCAGGTTGTTTCGGGCCGGTAAACACGCTATTGAGCATTCTGTCTTAGTAGCGAGATACCGTATCTGTAGACTTCTTTCCATTGGCAGTAATAGCCATTTACCATCAGATGGATTGTAAAACCATTTGTCACTTCATTTTTATAATAAAAAAGTAAAATTTTATTAAAATATACAAAATCCATTGCTCTGTTTTGGTGTGAATGTTCTGGGTTAAAAAAACAAACACGGTTTCAGACTGCAAGACATTTTCTATCCTTCTTAGCCTTCGAGAACAAAGCACGTGTGGTCTTTTTTGCTTAAGTGCTGAGTAATTGCAGGTGTCAATGGGATGGCAAAGCCAATTGAAATAAAATGGACTGTTATCTCGTGTGTTGTTCCAATACAACTAAAAATACTTTTTTTCTATGAGAATAATAGTAATATATTTCATTCATCATATACTATCAAAATCCACTGCTGAATAAAGTCCTATATATTCATCCTAGATATTCATCATAGTCATAGAGATATAATACATATGGAGGCGGCGTATTCTACTACAGAAATAATAGTTATACAAATATCCATAATATTGACACACACTTGTCAAAAATACTTTTGTTTCTTTTTAACGAAGCAGTAGCTTCATTAGAAAAGGGAGACAACAACAGTTTGTCAATTGCTTATTTTGACAACACTTTCGTGTGACGTAATTAGCTCACCCATGTGTGACTGCGTTGCCATGTTAGGCGCTAAGTTTTGTGGGAGATCTGCTGTCAAACTGTTGAATGCTAAAAGTTTTTTTGTTGTGTAGTGCAGTGCCTTCATTTTATCTTATAGTAGGTGTTTTACTTCTATTTATATTTTATTATGTCAAATAAGTGTCTTACAGTTTATTTCAAGAGTTATGGTAGGGATGTATTTTTTAATTATTACTTTACGTAAGATGTATAATTTTGTAATTTATTTAGCCAATAAAAAACACGCCGTGTAGTGGCGGTTAAGAATATCCACTACCCCATATCTTCCCGTGGGTGTCGTAAGAGGCGACAGAGGGACACAGAAAGGAGATGGGCAGCAGAATCTTCCTAATAACAACAATAACATAATAAAAAACTGCGGTTGCCAACCCGCCGCCAAGCGTGGCAACTATGGCAAATATCCCCATCCCATCCCCATGAGCAACGACTCAAATAAACCAAAATAAACTGGCTACGGTGGCGACTATGGTAACGGCGGGGCAAGGGGTGCTAAGAATCTCCGGTGGAGGTTCGGTTGCCACCTACGACGACTCGACCTGGCAACGTATAACGCACGCACCCTGAGGACTGACGAGAAGATACGACGAGAAGATACTGGAGCTGGAAGAAGTGGTAGACAAGTTGCGCTGGCATATTATTGGATTATCTGAGGTCCGAAGAGAGGGGGGAGGACACAGTAATCCTCGAGTCCGGCAACATATTCTATCACCGGGAGGGCGACCATCTGTCACAAGGAGGTGTCGGATTTATCGTCCACAAGTCTCTCGTCAACAACGTTGTAAAGATTGGGAGTATGTCGACGAGGGTCGCGTACCTGATACTCAGAATCACCAAACGGTATTCGCTGAAGGTCATACAGGTCTACGCACCAACCTCGGCACATCCCGATGAGCAGATGGAGGAAATGTATGAGGATATTTCTAGAGCCATGTATTCCTCCAAAACCCACTACACGGTGTTGATGGGAGACTTCAACGCAAAACTAGGCAGAAGAGAAGGTATTGAGCTGAAGTTAGGGAAATTTGGAGTAAGGCAACGGAACTGTAGGGTCCAGCAGCTGGCTGACTTTATGGAGAAAGAGGGACTATTTATGATGAACTCTTTCTTCCAGAAGCGGCCCCACAGGAAGTGGACCTGGTCGAGCCCCGACGGTTCGACAAAAAATGAGATTGACTTCATTATGACGACCAGACGCCAACTGTTCAGTGATGTCTCAGTGATCGCAAGGATGAAAACCGGCAGCGATCACCGAATGGTTAGAGGCACACTGAACCTAAACGTTAAGTTGGAGAGGTCTCGTCTGATGAAGTCAACGCTCCGTCCCCCTCGTGCTCTAATCCAGAATCTCGAGACTTTTCAGCTCGAGTTACGTAACCGCTTTCAGTGCCAGAAGATTGCAATGCAGTGGACGATATGAATGACAAGCTCGTGGAAACTGTCCATGCGGTCGGAGCTAAGTTCTGCAAGACCCGCCGCAGAAGAACACAAAAATTCTCCGATCACACTCTTAATCTCATGGCTGTTAGACGGGAGATGAGGCTGCAATCGTCAACAGATTTGACAGCATACAGGCAACTGAACAGATCTCCAAATGCATGCGGCGAGACTTACGCAACTTTAATACTGCTCGTATTAAAGAAGCGATCGAGCGGAACCAGGGCTCCAAAGTCTTTGCCAGAGATCTGTCTGCCAGAAAGAGCCAACTGTCAAAGCTGAAGACTGAGTGTGGCAGCATCGTTTCTCAGACACCTGAGATTTTGAGTGAGATTGAGAGGTTCTATGGGCAGCTGTACACATCATCGTTGGAGCCACACGCAAGTGTGAGTAACGATCCAAGAGCAAGTCTTACCCGACATTATTCCGATGATATCCCGGACGTCAGTCTGAGCGAAATTAAAATGGCTCTCCAGCACCTTAAAAACGGCAGGGCCCCAGGCGAGGATGGAATTACAGCGGAGCTTCTGAAAGCGGGTGGAACACCGGTACTTGAAGTCCTTCAGAAACTCTTCAATTCCGTCCTCCATGGTGGCACTCCTCCGGAGGCGTGGAACAGAAGTGCGGTGGTCTTGTTCTTTGAGAAAGGCGACAACGCTCTCTTGAAGAACTACAGACCGATTTTTCTTCTGAGCCGCGTCTACGTACTGTTTTCGAGAGTCATTACAAATCGTCTCGCACACAGACTCGACGACTTCCAGCCTCCCGAACAAGCCGGTTTCCGAAAAGGCTTTAGTACCATAGATCACATTCATACCCTGCGGCAGATTGTACAGAAGACCGAAGAGTACAATCTGCCACTTTGTCTGGCGTATGTGGACTATGAGAAAGCCTTTGATTCCGTCGAAATTTGGGCGGTGCTCCAGTCCCTTCAGCGGTGCCAAGTTGACTGTCGGTATATCGAAGTGCTGAAGTGTTTGTACAGTAGGGCTACGATGGCTATCCGAGTACAAAACCAGAGTTCGAAACCTATCCAACTGCAGAGAGGTGTAAGACAGGGTGACGTTATATCCCCGAAACTCTTCACCACTGCGCTGGACGTTTTCAAGCTACTGGACTGGAAAGGATACGGTATTAACATCAATGGCGAGTACATCACTCACCTTCGATTTGCCGACGATATAGTCCTTATGGCAGAATCGCTGGAGGACCTTAGCACTATGCTCAATTACCACAATGGTGTCTCCCAACGGATAGGTCTTAAGATGAACATGGACAAAACAAAGAGCATGTTTAATGTCCATGTCACACCTATGCCGGTAGTTGTTGGGAGCACTATGCTCGAAGTTGTTGACGAGTACGTTTACCTGGGACAAATAGTCCGACTAGGTTAGTCCAACTTCGACCGAGAGGTCAATCGACGGATTCAACTCGGCTGGGCAGCGTTCGGGAAATTACGACACATCTTCTCGTCAGGTATACCTCAATCTCTGAAAACTAAATTGTACAACCAGTGCGTGTTGCCAGTGATGACTTACGGATCAGAGACGTGGTCCTTCACTGTTGGCCGTATGAGGACGCTCAAGGTCGCTCAGCGAGCTATGGAGAGGACTATGCACGGAGTTTCTCTGCGTGATAGACTCAGAAATGAGGATATCCTCAATAAAACCAGAGTGACTGACATAGCCCAACGGATTAGTAAGCTGAAGTGGCAATGGGCCGGCCATATAGCTCGAAGAACCGATAACCGATGGGGAAGAAAGGTTCTCGAGTGGCAGCCTCGTACCGGTAGGCGTAGTGTAGGGCCCACTAGATGGAGTGACGACCTGGTAAGACATGCAGGAAGTCTATGGATGCAGGTGGCTCAGGGCCGTGCTTTGTGGCATTACTTGGGGGAGGCCTATGTTCAGCAGTGGACTTGTGAAGGGCTGTAATGATGATGATGATGAATAAAAAAACTGTTAAGAAGTTTTGTAATTATTAAAAATCACAGTATATGTATATTTGTCGCTACTAGTTGGGGAAGAAAAAACAAAAAACTTTCAGGAGTGGTCTTCAGTATGCCTCTATTAGAGTCGTTATTTAAATTATTAAAAAACCTTATCAATTGCTGTATTAGAATATATTACGGGATTTGTGGCAGAAAAAGTTTCAGATACCATGCAAGTATATATACTTCTAAGTCAGTGATCATAGTCAACACACTTTGCAGGCGGGTGATCAGCCGCAGTTTTTATTATTTAGTCTTTAGCGGGGATCTAATTTACGGGAGTCTCCTGTTTTATTTCCCTTTGACACCTGTAACGACATCTTCGAGACGATATGAGCTAGTTAATTCACATGCGCCTGCACTGATGTAAATAATTTATAAATTAAATTTGTGAAAGGTGAAGTGGGCTCGTTAGTTACTAACGATATGAAGTAAAATAAAATCAATAACGTATTAAAATAAAAACAATTTAAAAATCAATCTATTAATAGGCATTGCAAGCGTTTTTTTATTCAGATAATAAAAGGTTTCTAAACACTCGGCACAACGACCAGTAACGCCTTTTATATCAAAAGACATAGATGCTTTAGTACTACATGAAAATGAACAAATGTAAGTTAAAATAAAAACGGATAGTTAAGGAACCTTCAAAGTTTATAAATTCCCTTTTGTATTTATAAATTGAAGTTGAAAATTTGAGTCTACCACTTAAACTGCAATTCTTACTTTCGATACGTTTTTGACTGGAATGTTAGCAAGATTATTATTTTACATGTGAAAGTGCCATTAAATACAATCATTTAAAAAAAATTTGAAATATAACTATGATAAAAATATTTATGAATTTTTTAAGCCTGATCGGCAGAAAACCTTAAAAAATTATAACTCGAAAACTACCAGAATTCGGATACCATACATGGGGTATTTTCGGATACCTCTAGGTGTGAGGAATTAAAAAAAATCTTTTGGACGTCACTGTTTGAACAGAAGCCTGTATAACTCGCCGTGCCAGTAATTTTGTGTTACCTGCTGTAAGAACCAACTATGATAAAAAATAACATAGCGAGCACACTTATAAAATCAACTTCGAAATCATGTGAAAGAAGCGACTTCGATAAATATTTTTTAAACGAGATTATTTAAAGTTATTTATAATGATGAAACTATGTATTAGAATTAACTTGGACCACCGCCTTAGAGTTAAAGATGAACACAATGGACTCGTTTCTTGATTAACGATCGACCTTGAATTATATATATTATTATAATTTTATTATAGATATTATTGTTCTCATTTAAGTGACAATTGTCTTAATGAAAATAAAGTTCCTGAAACCAAAGTAGATTGGTCAGTGACCATGAGTTGGTGTACCATTTACCATTATGTGGACTGTAAGTTCGAACCACATAAGCTGTGGCTGCAGGGTTAGGTCTCACTGAAGAGCGTTCGGCGCGGCGGAATGTTCATCATGAAAGGTCTCACTCACACACGCACACACAAACACACACGCTCCTATACTAAAGGCTAATCCTTGTAGATTTCTTACCTTTAGAGCCAATAGCTGCAGCGAGTTGCATGTCGGCCGCTGTCGGCATTTCAGGTGTTGTGCTGATGGGCCCTAATGAGAGAAACACATTTTTATAAAATAAATATATTGTAAAGTATAATGTTGGTTTTCCTGTATTGGATTCCTTTTTTTATTTTATAAAGGTTGTTACTTATAATGGTTCATATCATTTTTTTATACGTGGTAGAGCCATGCTGCAATTATATTAGTAGTATAGTTGTAGCACGAATGGGTCGGCTCGACCGGGGAAGGACCACGCTCTCACAGAATACCAGCGTGAAATAGTAGCTTAATGCTGCTGTATTTCGTATGGTGAGTGTAGAGAACCGGAGACCCTTTTTACTGGAAATAAGGCATTCCATCTCAGTCCTCACGGGTGACAACGCATCTGCATTTTGATTTGTAATGGAAGATAGATGTAGATGTCTATGGGCCGCAGCAACCACTTACCATCAGGTGGACTGTGTGCTCGTTTGTCACCCTATTCTATAAAAAAAATATCAAAGTTGACGTAGCTAGTAGTAGTAGTAGTAGTAGAAATATCACGATTCGATCCTGGCCAGCACCAAAAAAATGTTAATTGCAATTTTTTTTATATTTTATTATTTATTATTTTTATAATTTGTTTTAAAGATCTCTTTGCTACGTGCTTGGCGATGAAGGATAACATTATAAATAAATCTCAAAAGAAATTGTGTAAAGTCCCACGGGCGTCAACCTAGACCATTGCTTCATAATCCTCTCAGAAATATGAGCAATGAGTCGTATAAAGTAAGGGAAAGCATTCATTATCATTACTTTCGTTGTTTTTATAATTAACACGTTTCATAAATTTCCAGTCTCATGAATCGTAATGATGATATGATTCGGAATTTTGATAGCGTGATATAGGCTTCGGTATGTTTCGCTTGCGGCGCGACGATAGCGCCGTCACAGTAGTATCGTTATCGGCACGACCAGGGAAGAACCACGCTCACACAGAATACCAACGTAAAATAGTAGCTTAACGGTGCTGTGTTTCGTATAGTGAGTGTAGAGAACCGGAGACCCTTTTTACTGGATAAGAGGTATTCCTTCTTAGTCGTCACGGGTGAAAAAGCATCTGCATTTTGATTCGTGATCGAGGATTGATGTCTATGGGCCGCAGCAACCTCTTACCATCAGGTGGACTTTGTGCTTGTTTGTCACCATTATCCTATATTTTAAAAAAACAAGATTTTTCCGGCATTTCCCACAGTCGCTTCTTATAACGCTAACGGTACGGATATGGAGTGATACCTTACGACGTGGAATTTCCGAAGAATTCACAGTTTCCTCATAAAGATACCATTCTATATACTTTATATATAAAATAACAACACTTTTACGAATAATAATCTACTTGAAGCCTGTATATAAATGTATATTAGACAAGAGCAAAAGTCTGCTTGCGATTAAGCTCACATCAAATCTCCTAACTATTAAATTATCTATTCTATTCTTTTCTATAGTAGGATTGTAGGAAAAATATTAAAAGGAAATTCTTACCCGGATAGTAAATTGCTTCTTTCCTTACTGCGTATTTTGCTAAAGGTATTCGGAGAGTGCAAATAAACTCCGCAGGTGAAGGAAGGACAGCGTCGAGCAACGTAACCGAAGCTACCGCCGAGTATCTGCCGTTCACCAGTTTCAATTCGTGAGAAACTCCATCCAGCCTCCTTTCAATAAAACATATAGATGTTTTAATATGAATATAATATGTAGCATTATGTAGAGTGTGACAGTGCGATGAATATTTTTACTCTCAGTGTGAACTGCCTATTGGTAAAAAAATTAAATTAAAAAAAACTAACAAACTCAATCGATTTTACTGAAAACTTAATTATTTGATAAGATGAAAAAAAAACACACACACACATACACACACACGATTTTCACAATAATACCTACCAAAATTGAATACTACAGCAATAAACTTAATCATTCATATTCATCTAGGGTAAAGCTACACTAGAGCAATGCAATGACATGAAACTGCATCTATTTTCCTACCTTCCCCGATAGTCATACTTAACAGGCATTCAGGTAATTCTAGCACAGCGCCAGATTATTTTTGCTATATACATTATGATATTAAATTCATGAATAAATGTTTGATCTTAAAATGCTTCTTTAAATATATAAATAAATATAATAATGCAATAAAAATCGAAATCAACTTGGGTAGATTATGACAATTTGACATTATATTGCAATGCAACGTCGACGTTTAACTCGAGAAGGGCTGTAGGAATTCTGCAGACTGGTACTTTTCAACTGGCACTAGGCACCAGGCAAAATGTGATTTCGAGATTGTGATCACACTATCAGGCCGCGGCGGTGGTGATGGAGAAACACAGGACCAAGCCGCATTACTACAGCCAGATAAGCCATTTTTTGCAAATTGCTGCGAGAAGGCAACAATATACATGATAGGGCGAAGCAATTGTCCAAACGCTGAACACCAGTTGCTTGAGAGTGATCAAATTGTGAGGAGGAGACTGCACGAAACTAACATTCATGGTCGTAGACCAGTTAGGGTTCCAGCTCTAAGTAGAGGAAATATTGGACGAAAACTGCAATGGGCTGTGAACATCTGAACTTGGAATCCCATCATTGGTCGTTGGTGCTTTTCACCGATGAATCCCGGTTTGGTTTTCATCCTAATTGTACTCACACGTACTCTGAGGAAAGTTTCTGGTCGTACTGTCCGGCCTCAACACTCTCAAGAAGTTCATCCATACCAATGTGGTACAATTATATAGTGGTAGTAAGAATTCGTTTTGGTGAAAGAACAGACTTCGTTTGGATACAGGACACTATGGTGGCTAAAAATACTGTAATTAGGTGCTAGAACTAATAGTCTTGCCATATATATAACAATGTCCACGCTTGGGTCAAAATTCCCTCCTTATGCACGACAATGTCGGTTCAGACTGGTTGTACAAACATGATGTGATGTCCCTAGAATGGCCAGCGTAATCTCTAGATTTAAATTCCATAGAAAATGCTTGGAATATGCTTCAAAAAAGAGCTCTGAGAGCTTTTCTTGACATTATGGTTACAGAAGAACGATTCTTTAGGCATCTCAGCAGGACCTGGGACAATATTCCTCCTAGGATATTAATTACCTTATTCTCAGTATGCCCAACCGATGCAGATGCGGTATGGATGTAATGGGCGCTTTTACTGATTATTAAACTTAATGCAATAAATTACTTTACTTTTGTTTAGATTACATAGATACTTTACTTATGATTAGCTTAGTAACGTAGATGCGAGACGTGTGACCCTGAGGGTGGCAATTAAGCTAAATCTACAAATAGTCAACGGGAGAGGCCCATGCCCAGCTGAAAACTTTTACGGGCCGATGTTGATGATGATGATGATGAGTATTAACATTTCATTATTCATTTATCATCACAGCCTGACAAAGCTAAATTAATGAAGACCACTGCTGCACGTAGGAATCCCCAAAGAATGCCTGAGAATGCCTTTTTTCCGGTATTATTAACAAATTTCAACACTAATAACAGTCAACCAAAACATGAAACAAGTTATAGCATAGCAGTATTCTTTTTTTCAAATATTTTGTTATTAAAAAGGTGAAGGCTTTTTAATATTATTCTGAAAAGCATTGCCGAAAATGGGGACTGTCCACTTTTAGCTCATATATGTGTGCTATAACTCGCACCTCCTTAGTTGCGAGTATTAAGTACTAACATAGATATTGGGCTTCTATTGTATCCACTTTGGATCTTTGTTTGACCAATAAATATTTTTTATTATTTTTCTATTTTTTATTTATTAACAGTTTTGTTTCCGAATTTATTATACTAGTTGAGGTACAAGATCGAGTAGAGGTCAGTTTCTACAGTCTGGCAGCGCGATCTCCTATTCGTATGACAAGTGCGGCATTTGTGCTAAATATTCCTTAAAGTAAAATAGACTATGTACAGCATAACCAGGCTGCTAGCGATGTTGTGTTATTTGGAAAAAAAAAATGTTATTTCGTATTTTTTTCCGCTTGCATTTTGGACTTTGTAGCGGCGTTGTCGTCGCTCCACTAGCACACCGAAACACACCGAAGCCTAAATCGCGCTATTAATATTCCGAATCATAGACAGTATATATAGAACTTCTCCGAACTATCACTTGGAGTGTGAGCCGCTCCCCGGGCAGAACACTTTGCCCGGCGGGAGATCTCCCCTTTTCCTTCCACGGCCACAGACTTGAAACCGCATTTGCATCTGTGTAGTTGCTACTTACGTACTCAACGCAATAAAGTAAGTAATTTCAAGCAAGCATTCTCATGTCTAGCGATGTAGGCCGATTGGTTAGCGATAAGGTGCAGTTGCCTTGTTATAGCCAAGTTTGTAGCCAATTGCTGTTTAGAGCACACGTCTTCGATTTTATACGACCTAGACACTTTAAAACTAATTAGTTGCATATGTTTACATTACAATCATAATGATTATTGTAATTTTGTTTCTATTTTGATAACAATACTTTTCGAACTGGCAAACCAAGCCACGATGGTGTTGTGATATTCAAACTACACTACAAAAGAATAAAACGTTAGTAACGTACCTCTCAGGTGTGGCTAGCGTGAGGTTTGGTGCAGGAAACGCTCCGTCCGCAGCACATATGACGTTCACAGTATCATCGTCAGTCTTGTTCTGAATCAGGCGGAAATTCGTCTCCGGAACTGAAACATGACACTTGTAAGAATATTTTGTAACATAGCACGTGAAGTTTAATGAACTGCAAGAAACAGGCGCGTGCTAAGATGGCGAACTTCTCTTGCGTAATATTAAGTTTCTCGAAGCATTTTTTCTTTATTTTATACTCGCTCTTTGATGAAAATTATTTTTGTAGTTTTTTTATTATTATTATTCTAAGCCAGCGCTGAAATCCCACCTGATGGTAAGTGGTGATGTAGCCTAAGTATGTGAAGCGCTCTGACTTAACAAAAACCTATTCACTCTTACCTTGAACACTGCACACCACACTGTAATCGTATGGAAAGACAGATGCTGGCAACTTATTCCACTCCTTTGCTGTACGCATGACGAACGACGTAGCAAACCGTTTGGTTCGAATACGTGGCAAGTCAACAACGAAAGGGTGGAGACTGGCCGAACGTCTGGTTTTCCGATGGTCGAAGGGGGAGGTAGGAATTACATTATGCAATGCCTACGCACACTCTCCGAAATGCATCCTGTAGAAGACCGAAAGGCTGGCTACTTTGCGTCTGTGTTCGACGTTGGTAAGATTGGTTTTAACCAAATTTGGGTTACCAATAAGCACCTTAGCACGCTTTTCCATTGAGTCTAAAGTTGCTAGGAGGAATTTTGCAGCACCAGCCCATATATGGCAGCAATATTCCATGCACGATCGGACTTGTGCTTTATATAAAGTAAGCAACTGTCCCAGCGTGAAGTATCGCCACACCTTCGCTAGTACTCCTAGGTCCCATGCAGCTGCTTTGAACCTGGACTGAATGAACCCCCCGAATTTCAGATTTGAGGACATCTCAACCCCCAGCAACTGGAGGCGGTCGGTGTATTCCAGTGATACATTTCGGAAAGTAGGAGCCAAAGTGAGCTGGCTCCTTTTTGCAGTGAAGAGACACGCTTGTGTTTTGCAGGCGTTGAATTTCACAAGATTAGCATCACCCTATTCAGAGACTGCCTGTAGTGTGATATTCACACGATCCACCATAGCTTTTATTTCGGAGTTGATTTGATCCCGACTGGCCCGAGGACTTGGTTGGAATCTCTCAACAATTGTGCTGTCGTCTGCGTACCCATAAATACCGGGTCTAAGCAAATCATTACTATGCAGCGGGAAGAGAGTTGCGGAGAGAATGGGCCCCTGAGGAACACCGGCGTTGGTCCTCACAGGATCGGATGAGCAGCCATTGACGACGACAGTTTACAGTTTCTGTATAATAAAAGTGTTATTATATTAGCTGACTGTTTAACATAACTGCTAGAGATTTTTCCTTTCAAAAATGCATCAGCTGGCGAAAATACATAATAATTTTCAAATATTACAATTATTATTGAATATTCTTTTTAGAATAAGGGTGACAAGCGGGCACGCAGTCCAGCTGATGGTAAGTAGATGTTGTGGCCCCTACAACGATTCCTGAATAAGATTCAAAATGCAGATGCGATATCACCCCGAGGGCTAAGATGGAATGCCCCGTATCCAGTAAAAAGGCAGCAGCATTATGTCGCTATTTTACGCTGGTATTCCGTGAGAGCGTGGTTACTATCTGGTCATGCCGATCCATTCAAGCTTCACGTATAATACAGCTACGGTGTGGCTCCAGCACGTATAAATAAGACTAGTGTCTTGTAGTGCCGGCGTGTTAAGGTAAACCATTATCCCATATAATCTCATGTGTGTAGTACAAGGCGGCAGATGGAAAAAATAGGAGATGAGCAATGGTATCTTATAAATGAGAAATGAAAATAATAAAAAACCGCGTTCCTGGGGGGCACGGGTTCGAAACCCTCACGGAATAAGTGTATGTGTTGCTTACAAATAACTGTTTTGGTTGTGGATGTTTGTTTACCTTGTGTAATTTATGTATGAAATCTGCTTCCGTGACACAGGAAAATACTAGTACACGTTACGGGGTAACGTTTAATAAAATCATAGTTTAACATTCTGCTGACTTAGATCAGCATAATAACAAATCGCACATTGATAGGAAGAGTGACACTAACCAAAAAAAATGTTTTTTCGGTAGAAGTGTTTTAAGTTTTACCAAACCGTAATGACTAGTTTTGCACCAGAAAGAAAAAAAAAATATGATATGTTATGGTTTTTATTGTAGAGAGCATTAAACACGACTGGAATGTATTTTTTATTTTTATGAAAAGGTATTTTTAAGTAAGATTTTCCCAAAAAACTTTTCAGTGACGTTATAACATTAATCAAAACGTTCAGTATTTCCTACTACGTGACAACTTACCGACACAATAACAATAGAAAAAATACATTACGCAAAGAAAAAACAATTTTATTTAGAAAATATAGTTTATTGCAAAGTTTAATACAAACTACTCAAACATTAAGTTGTTTGCGATGACAACAGCTAAATAAATCACATTTTTATTGATATTTTCAGACTCAAAACACTTAGGTGCTAAAAGCGATAATAATTATAAAAATTGTATATCCAAAATACTAGACATCCTAAAGATAAAAACTCAAATTAAGGCTCTTGTTTTGTTTATTAAGGCTTTTTTTAAATCAAATAGCTCTGACAATAACGTAGTATCAGATTTATAAACTTATTCTTAAAGGATTCTATCAAAATAAGAAGAAACGTAATAATTAGGAATGAGATTTTGAGCAATCAACGATTTGATGTCGTTTTTCTTTCTTTCAGTCAAAGGAAGCTTAGCTGCGTAAAGAGGTTTCAATAGATTGTTGGCATTAGGAACTTCGTACCTACTACCTGCCTGTTGCCTACGAGTAGCTACCCTATTAGCTTCTAGTCTAATCTCTTTAAAGTTCTGTTGTAAGTAAGATTTCTTATAAAATATTTTGACTGTAACAGACTTATTTAAATCTTTCATCATTTTAATGATTTTAATATCACCTATCGTATTCTTGGAAAAATATTCTCACATAAACATTTAATATCGTAAAAATCACTATGGCTCATCAGATTAACATTGTATGCATTTCCTTTTTTTCGTGCGTTCTTTATTGCTGCAATGTACTGGTCAGGAACATAAATAGGGCCAGATCTTAACATTTTTTTTTACTTCTCTCTCAATTGTTGAATACACTGCATCACCCTCATTTTGTGTGTGACCTTTGATTACGAACTTGTGGGTTATAGATTTTATTGGCAAAGTTTTTACCGCATAAAAATAAAGAGATAACATGAATTGGTTTTTTTTGTTGCCCACAACAATTATCAGAATAAAAAATAAAATCGAAATCTGGATGTAATAAGGACATTTTTTCTAAATATTTAAACACACACGTCCCAATTTCATTAACACCTCTTTGACCTTCTACTTCTGTACAAAAAAAAACATTCAGTGTGATCTTTTCCCAGTTCATAAATAGTGAAATTTAAACAATTCAATTTACTTTTATAGTAAAAGATTGATATTTCTCCTTTAGGCAAGGTCATAACTACCTGCAAGTCATAACAAGACACAATGCAATTACTCATTTTCTTATCATTTTCCTTCTCTATTCTACTTTCATCCTTTTCTTTTAAATGATCTTGATATTTATCTTCCAAATTTTCTTTTACATCGGCAATCCTGTAAGCTGTGCAAAGATCACACTGATCTTTTTTGGGTATAAAAAAACTGATGTTAAACTCAGTATTAAAAACTTTTCTATAAATATGTATTTTTACAAATTAGATATTTTTTTCAATGCAATCAGCTTTATAATGTTTGTATAAATCAGCAAGCGTCTTTCCTCCGTCGATAAATACTCTCAAAGTTTGTTTTCGTAGATATTAACTTTCTATATGAGGTATACTATTGATGTGACGTCGCACTTCAATTAAATTATCTTCAGGAATGGTTTTTTTATTACTGTGTTTGCCCCTTTGTTCAGGGTCCACTATACTTTGCTCGTTCTTCTTGTCTGTCACTGTTCTAATAGGTCGATCACCAATTCCAAGAGTATTTTTAAAAAATATTTTACACACTCTGTTTTTTTTTACCATTTATCACGAAATGGAATGCATTCTTTGGTTTTCTGCTGTTATTAAGTCTTTTGTACTGATACTTAGGAAATACGTTAACTAAATTATTAGCTATATAATCTCTTTGACGTGTTAGTAAGCCCAGATTCCAAAACGAGCCAAATAATCTTTTGCGGTCATTTTCAGCAATAATATCACGACATTTAAGCCGACACTTTTCATTACAGGGTCCTCTCATCACCCTTTCTGCAACAATTTTTGATGATGTAGATACGTATGATTGTCCTCGATTTCTTCGAGTCTGAGCTGTCTTTTTTTATTAATTCGTCTGATTTTTTTTTCGACTATTCCTATTGCCTTCTTCTACAACAGGGTTCAATATGTTAACACTGGCTAGCCCAGGAACTGACGTTAGATTATTAGATTCTAAGGAATGCGTGACAGTACTATTCCCATCTTCATTGCAGTCATTTCTGATAGTAGTAGGTTGGATTGTAGAGATTTTGTCTACAGCGGCAGAAGCCAATGACGCCAACGATGGACACTGGTGATTTCTCGTCGAAGAACATTCAGAAGAAGAACTCGACGAAGACGAAGAACTTGACGAGGAAGAGGAACTAGACGAAGAATTGCTCGATTATGAATCTGAAGAAGAAGAAGAGTCTGATCGTCGACGGTTTGCAGTGGATGGTTTTAATGGTAAGTAACTTGGGTCATCGTCTGAAGCAGGTGAAAAATTACGTGGAGATGCACGACTGGAGGTAGATGACCTGGAATTTCTTCTTTCTGCATGAGGTTGTTCATTTGGAGGCAAGTTTTCATCCACGTGAAGGGGTTCCTCCTAAAATAAGTAATTATTTTAAATAACACAATAAGTAAAAGAAATTCATATCATAACTCATGCAGTGAAGAAGAACAAGGAAAAGACAATAAGCTTTTTTAGTTAATAACCGCTTATTGTTTCAAATAGTGGTAAGGTTACTTACCTTACCACTATTTGAAACAATAAG